ACAGAGCGCCCGGCTGCCCAACCCACACCTGTCCTTCAGGCTGTGATGCTGGGGGGTCTCCCTCAGAGCCCAGGCTCTGCAGTGGAGTCCTTAGCGTTCAGCTTGACCGTTTCGCTGGGCCTGCTCTATGCACTACAATCCCAGCACACTGGGAGGCTGAGGCAGGAGGACTGCAAGTTCAAGCCCAACTTGGGCAATTTCACAACTTAGTAAGGTGGTCTCAAAATAAAAAAATTAAAAGGAGGTCTGGCGAGATAGCTTAGTGGACTAAGTGCCTGCTTAGGCAAGCACGGGGGCTGGGGTTCGATCCCCAGGACCACATGCCATGCCAGCCCTGTGCCTGGGTGCACTGAGTCGGTGGCTGAATCCAGCCTGGTGGTGCATACCTGTAACCCCGGTGCTGAGGAGGCTGAAAACAGGGGGATCACTACAAGTTCAAGGTGTGTAGTGGGACCCTACACAAAAGAATAAACAAATAAATAAGGACTGGGCTGCAGCTTGGTGTGAAAGCCTCGGGTTCAAGCCCCAGTACCACAAAAAAGAAAAAAGACTATTTTTTCAGGAAGACATTAGGTCTAGAGAAAAGAAGGAACTTACTGAGTTTGCCATTGGTGAGGACCAGAGCTGACTAAGCATCCACACCCTTCAGGTGTGACCCCAGCTTCATGGTTGCCAGGGGCAGCAGGGCTCCTGGGACCCCCAGTCTGAGGCCCTCACTGCCACAACAGCCCCAAGCCTGGGCAGGCAACTCCCCCGGGCTCAGTCCGAGGGGGCCTGCTGCCAGCCATGGTTCTTTCTTTTCTTTTTAGCCAGGGTCTCCCTGTGCAATTCGGGCTGGCCCTGGACTCTATGTGCTCAGGCTGGCCTGGATCTCGGGGCAGTCCTGCCTCAGGCTCCCGAGTGCTGGGATTCCAGGTGCGCTCCGCCACACCCAGCACGGCACAGGCCTCTCTCTGGGTGCTTGGAGCAGAGCTGTCCTGGGCCAGGCCTGAGGGCTTCTGATGCCTGTGTCCCTCCCCAGGCCATTGCAAGCCATCCGGCTGCAGCCAGGGCTGACGCTGGCTTTGCTGTGCTTATTTTCCCAGCTCCTGTTCTGAAGTCCCTGGTGGCCACTGGCTTCTTCCTTGACCAGCGAGAACTGGTCCCTGAGCTTCAAAATACAACCACCAGGACCAAGTGAATTCCTGAATTCCTCAGCTTTCCTATCAGGAAATGAGGCCGGTGTGGCCATTAATGAAGACCTCGCTAAGCACATGCCATAAGCCCAGTGACTCCAGAGGGAGGCTGAGGCAGGAGGACCACAAGTTTGAGAACAGCCCAGGTGACATAGGGGGATCCTGTTTCAAAACTAAAAAGCGCTGGATGGAGCTCATTGGCAGGGTGCCCCAGTTTCCATCCCCAGTGCCAGAAAAAGAAAACGAAACAAAAGGAAAGGCTGAAGGAGAGACCATGAGCTGCAGGGGCCTCTCGGGGGCCACCTCAGTCTTGCTGAAGGTGCTGCCTCTTCAGTGCCACCCTGGGACAGCCGCTGCTCTGGCGGCCATGCACTGTCCCCATCTGTCTCTGACCTGGAGCCCGGTGGCCACCGAAGCCAGAAGCCAGGCCTGCATGGCTACGTGACTATGAACTGTGACCTCGAATGGCAGAATGCAATGGGAGTCAGACTAGGAAGGCCCGTGTGTAATCCATCAGGCAGGACGTCCCCAGTGAGGGACAGCGGCACAGGACCAGGCTGGGGACCGGCCCAGGTAGAGGAAGGGATGCAGCGTGTCACAGGAGGACCATATCTTGCACTCTGGCAAACGAGCTGAGTCAGCTTGGACCACGGCCTCCACCATGGGAAACCATTGCACGCTCAGGATGACCATGTCCCCAGTGGCAGCGGCACAGGGACTTTCTCCTGAGTAAGGGCCTTTCTCCCCGAAAGCACTGAGGCGACAGACAGAAGCCCCAGCGTCCCCGCGTCTGCAGGGAACACGAGCCAGGCCAAGCCCTGCGTGTTCATGCCCCGGCCCCGTCTGGCAGACGTTTCAGGGGAGGCGGCAGTGAGATTCTCTCAGTGATGCACGGTGGCCAGCCTCAGAGCAGATCACAAGCAAAAAATGTGGCGGAGCCAAGGGCGACCATCAGATGGCTAGAAAAGGAAGAGCGCCTAAGGGTCACTTGGCACACAATGGTTCTCTAGATCTGAAAGTGCCCTCTGACTCCTTGAGGTTCTGCGTGCTGTTCTGAGACACAGTGGCATTTCCAGGGCCAGGCTGGAGCTCAGGGCCAGCGCCCGCCTACCGCGTACAGCACCCGGGCTGCTGCACCGCCAACAGGGAGCTCAGACCATCAGACATGGCGACACCAACAGACACCGCCTGTGCGTCTTCAGCTTCGAGCAGTCACATTGAAAACCAAAAGAAGCAGTAAGCTCAATTATGATAGCAAAATGCACCTACCTCTCTTACCCAAATAGCCTCGCTTCAGCCTCTGAACTCCTGCACAGCTCATGAGCGAGATCTTCACAACCTGGTGTCTGTTTTATGTTTTATAGGTCTTGACATGAACTACTACATTCCAAATGCTACCGAGTCCCAGGGCATCAATGAGCCGCAAGAGTAAGGGGCGCTTGCTCTTTACGGACGTACCCTCTATCTATCCTGATTGGTTCAAATGTTAATCTGAGTCACTGTTCAATTACTGGGCTTGGCTGGTTATAGTGGCTCAGGCCTGCACAGTGCTGGGTACCGGGGAGGCTGAGGCAGGCAGGTTGGGACAACACAGAGTTCCGGTCTCAGCAAGAAAATGAAGGATGGGGACGTCGCTCTCAGGAGCAGAGCACCTGCCCCGTCTTGGAGACGTTTTGGAGCGGGCAGTAGTGAGATTTACTCTATGGCATGGAGTGGTTGGCTTCAGAGCACTTCAAGCGAAAAATGTAGAGGAATTGACAGCGACCAAAAAAATCACTAGAAAATTAAGATGCTGAAACTGAACTGAAAGCAAAAGCACTGGGTTCATAAATATAAAGCAGCTTGCACGTAGAATTCACAAGTCAGTGGAACAACAGGTTCTTTAAACTTTTGATTACAGAAAGGAAATTGGTGTCTTTCGGGAGTGGGGACAGAAGCCGTGGCCCTCAGGCCCTCGCAGCTGGGCAAGCCCTGGACGCTGCTGCGCCAAGTCACCACACGCCACCTTTCTAGCACTCAGAAGCAGCCTTCTCAGCTGCTTCCCAGCCACAGGCAGCAGCAGCACCAGGGAGGCAAAGGCCCAGAAAAGACAAGAGGCTCAGGGGTGTGGTGGCTCAGGGCAGAGTGCCCCTGGGCCTCCCGCCCAGGGCAAACAGCCCGGCCCCTCTGCCCTTCAGCCCCAGGTAGCCGACCAGGAAACTGAGGCACAGAGTTGGAGCACGCATGCCCCCGGTTCTGGGAGTGGCAGCTGCAAATGTCAGGGCCCTGTCACCTGTGACATGAAGGGGCCACCACAGGCTGGGCTGGAGTCCAGGCTGCCTGAGGCCCAGGGCGGGACCCCTGTGGGGGTGTGGGGAGGGGAGCAGGTGTGAAGAGCCACACTCTGCGGGCAAGGAGCACAGGCTGCTCCAGACCTACCTCCCCTCTGCCTGCAAAGCCCTCCCTGACAGCCACACTTCTCAGGGACCCCTGACCTCTCCCTTGGTGACCCCTGACCTCTTCCTCTGCGACCCTTATGCCATTAATTCAGGGACAGGCCTTCTCCACTCAAACCACTTCCAGCCCTCTTCCAAAGTCCAGAAGAAAATCCCACCCTGGGGCCTGCTGTCTGGGACGCCTCCAAGTCTCCCCGCAGGTTGCTGGCAGCGGCTCCAGGCCTTCAGCCGGCATGCGACCTCGGGCAGAAAGGAGCGGCCTTGGGTCCAGCTGTCCCTCCCCTCACCCTTCTCTCTCCCTTTCTCAGTGGCCAGCGACAGCAGTAATGGAAAGTCTCATTTCCAGATGCAGCTCTTATTAACAAGAAGCAAGTCAGTGGACATCAGCACAAAACCACACAGGAGATGGGTGCGGGGTGTGCGGGGCAGGGCCGAGGGGTAGGACACACCACGGCGGGGGTGGGGGCTCTGTGGCATGCCACCCTGGGCCCTGGGATGCCCAGCCCCTGGTTCCACCTGGCCTTCTTCCTGTGGGGGCCCCAGATAGAGGCAGACAGGAGCTGGAATGGGTGCTCCCCATCACCTCTCAGCCCTGGCAGAAGCAGCTGAGCTCAGAAAATTGTGGGGCCAGCAGCCAGGGGCCCTAGTGGCCCTGCACAGCCCTGCTCTGGTGCAAGCTTAGGGCCTAGAGCTCCCAGATAGAGGCTGCTGCTGGCTCTACACCTGCCTGGCCCTGTGCTGGTGACCCCATCCAGGCCCAGAACCCCATTTCACCCCAGGAGGAAAGCCCACAAAAGGCTGGGCCAGGCTTATGGGTCAGCTCTGGCTGCTTGGCCAGTGCCCTGCAAGGCCCAGCAAGGGTCCCGGAGCACCATCCTGGTGCCTGAGCCCTGGTCACAGGTGCAAGGGTGTCAGTGCCTGGGGACGGTGCCCAGGAAGCTCAAGGGGCCTCCTGTGTTCTGTGTCCCAAATCACCCAGCGGGCCGTGCCCTGGGCACAGTGAAAGCTGTCAGGAACCTGGGTCCCCCGTGAGCTCAGCTTTGATCTTGTCACAGCCCCGCTCGTCTGGAAGGAGGTTCCTTCCTGCCAGTTGTCCAGAAATGGGGGGCAGGCATCTGCATACCCAAGGGTGGGGACCATGCCTCACCGGCCAGCCCCAGGACCCACTGTGCAGCAGAACACGCTGCCCTGTTGTCCTTATCCCACATGGCCTCTCCGGGGACAGGCACATTGCCTGGGCCCTTCGGAGGGCCCCGTGTCCTACCGTTACACCCAGGATTCCTGGAGCCCAGCAGGGTCCTGGCCAAAAAGCTCAGCAGAGGTGACCCAAAATGTCCCATAGCCCCAGGACCTGGTCCTCCAGCTTGGTGGCAGGAGGGGAGGAGGGTACCTGAAAGGGTTGCTGTCAGCCGGGTAACGAGGCCGAGGAAGAGCCACAGGGTGGTCGTCATCTCCAGAGCCCTCCAAGGCTGGCTGGCCATGTGCCGTGGGCCACCTGCTCCTGTCCGGGGCTCTCTGCCACAGGCTCCCACAGGCAGGCAACCAAGCCCAGCCCACCAGCACCTCACCCTCTACGTGCTGCTTGTGGTTTGGTCTCCAGGAAGCCGGCACTGTTGAGGGGTGCAGGGGGAGCCCCAGCTGCTATGTCACCGCCCGCCCACCCTGAGAGCCAAGTCTCTTGCACTTCATAGCACTGCACCCCCTCCAGGGCTTTTGGGGAGGAGAGGCCAGCAAGGTACACACAACCTGTGGGTACAGATGTCGACCACTGCCCGACCGAGGAGCGCGGGCCGCCTCTCAGTCTGCTTGTGCATTGCCCGGCTCTCCTGGGGACACGGCCTGAGTCCTGCGCAAGTCCCCGGGACCCCTGTGGGTGGAGAGCAGCAGGGTGCCCTGCAGGAGCTGCTACGGAGTTGGATTTCTGGGCCGAAAGAGGAGGCGAGGGCCGCCTGGGAGGCGCTGAGTGACCCCATGGAAGCGGCTGAATTTGCTTCTGCCGTCCGGGAGTGCACACAGCGACCCGCCACCCAGCGCAGGTGGACTCAGCTGTCTAAGCAGCCCTATAGTGCACGCCACGGGCGCCCGTCCTGGCCTGCCCAGGGCTCCCCAGGGGTCCCCTCGCCTGTCCCCTCTAAACTCCACACCCTTGCTCCTCTTCCCTCCCTGCAGACCCAGCCCGGACACAGGAGTCAGGTTTGGGAGTGGAGGGGAGCCACACCGGGCCCAGCTGGGGCTGCCCCCTGGTGGACAGTAGCGGGGGTGTGGGCCAGGGCGGGGGCCTTGTGCAGGGGCCCAGAGGCACAGCCGGCTCCGGTGCTTTGGGGGCTGGGGTGTGTGGGGGAGGAAGTGGACAGCACTGGCCTCCAGCTCGCTCTGTCCTTTGGCCATGTGGCGAGCACCTCGGTCACATGCCCTGCTGGCCACCACCAGTCCCAGCCCTGGAGCAGCCGTCTGGACAACCCCCCCCTTTTGTCCCAGCAGCAAAAACCCAATAAATACAATATTTTTACATTATTATTATTCTTACTATTACTATTACTATTACTATTATTTTTGTGCTGGGGACCGAACTCAGGACCTCACACTTCCCAGGCAGGTGCCTATGCTGCTGAGCTGTCTCCCCAGCCCAAACAGCATTCTTAATAATGCATGCTGCTGGGTGGAGTGATGCATGCCTGTGAGCTCAGCACTCAGGAGGCTGAGGCAGGAGGACTGCCATGAGTTTGAGGCCAGCATGGGCTACAAAGTGAGTCAAAGGCATCCTGAACTACGTAGCAAGCCCCTGTCTCAGAAAAACAAAAACAAACAAAAATTAATAAATTAATTAATTAAATTAAAAATCATAATGGGAATGGTAAGAAAGCAAAGTCATCAGAGGTCAAGAAGACCAGCTGGAGGTACAGGTGACCCTGAGGCACCTCCCCAGCCTGGGGCCAGGGACTCACAGGCTGGAGTCAGGAGGGCCAACTCCATACGGGCCAGCTTGCCTGGCACCAGCCAGCCTGGCACAGGGGCCTGAGGCGCAGGGTACATGGGTGGGGAAGGGGACACTACAGTGTCCTCGCAGCAATGCCCCTCAAGTCCCTGGACAGCAGCACCGGGAATGTGGCAGGAGGCAGATGAGGAGGCGGGGGCAGGCCCGGGCTCACAGGACAGGCTCATTTCAGGACCTGAGAGGGCCACCCTGGCCCTGAGACTGGACTGCTCACTCTCTACAGGCTGTCGGGTCTTTTGGGGGTCTTGGGCATAGCAAAGGGAGCTATGGGAACAAATGGCAACAAGGGGACTTTCGGGGGAGAGTCCAGCACAAAGATGTTGTGGCTGTCTGCCTGGACCAGGCTAAAAAATGCCCAAGGAGCCCCATGTGTACGACCACAGGTCTGCAGCGGGTGACCAAGCTCAGCCACGGGGAGAGGGGCATAACGTGGGGGAAAGTGTACTGTGGGGGAGAGGCATAACTCGGGCCCTGCCCGCACCGTGAGGACGGTGGTCGGTTCCTCCCCAAGCGGGAGAAGCCTTTCAGGGTACCTTGGACTCGGGCCCCACACTTGCCGCTGGAAGCTGCAAGGGACAGCAGCCCACTTGAGGAGAGTAATCACACAACACAGGACACGGGCACTGTGCACACTGGTGCCACCCACAGTGACAGGACACCGGCCTCATTAGAACTGTGGCACATACAAGGTATGATGTCTGCGAGGCTCGGAGAAATAAAAGTTGAACTGAAGGTGATGCTAAGGAACGAGAGACTTAAAAATGACCAAGGAGAGTTGGAGAAGAAAGGCCGGTAGTAACTGTCTGGCTGAGAAACGCACTCTGTGAAGTAGGCTCTCAGGCGGTGGGGCACATGCCTGCTTCCCAGCCGCTGGCTGGCCGGCCGACCAGAGTCCGAGTCCGCCTGGGTAACTCAGAGACCTAGGGCGAGCTGGCCTCACGGTAAACGAAACACGGAACGGATAGGGATGCGGCTCAGGGAAGTGAGAGAGAGCGCGTGAGAGAGAGCGGGGCTGCATAGGCTCAGCTGGAGTTCTAGAAGGGAAAGGGAATCTCCAGAATTAGTGGAGGACAGAACCTGCAGCCCCTGGGAGCTCCCCAACTCTGGCACAACAGAGAAAGAACCCCGCCCTATGGGATTACGGTGGCAGAGCCCAGGTCACTGGTGGAGATGGATGATTCCCCGTGCCAGCTTTGACACTTCAGACAGCCGCGCAGCACCTCTGGGCCTAGGCGAAGATGACCACTGGCCTGCAGAGCCCTTGAGGACAGGGCCGAGAAGACCTCGGGTGACGGAGGACACCCCGCAGCCCACTGTGGAAACCTAATCTCCACACTCCCTTGTTGTGGCCTTCGGGGGTGGGACCTCGGAAGGTCCTTAGGGCCCCTGGAGGTCATGAGGGTGAGGCCCCGGGATGGCGGCAGCAGCAGCGTCCTCAGCAGAGGAAGAGAGGCCCTAACGAACATGCTCTCTGGCTGTAACCACGTGATACTCTGTCCATCGTGTGTCGCAGCAAGATCCCAGCTCCTCAGCATTGCGCCTGTGTGCCTCCAGAGCTGGGGGGGGGGGAGAGAGAGAGAGAGAGAGAGAGATTGGTGTCTCCAAGATTCTCATGTGTGTGGAAAGTGACCAGGTCACGGGCGCTGTGCTCAGCAGAGTGAGCTCAGGGCTGACTCTGCTGTAGGCGGGGCCTGGAGGGGTGGTCTCTGGGGGTGACCGGAGGGAGGCTCCAGTCCCCAGCCCCTCCCTTCCCTCCCAGCTTCCTGCTGCCACGGGCCAAGCACCTTCTCCTCCCCCAGCTGCTTGGCCTCACCACTTCTAGCTTGGAGCCCTGGGCAGGCCCCGAAAGCGGTAGCTGGGCTAGCCCTCCTTTAAACTGTGGGTCCTGGTTACCAAGTACCAGCCACAGGAAAGTAACTGAGATACAGCATCTATCGGATGAAGGCAAATACCATTTCACATAAAAATTAAGCGAATTTACAACAAATGGACCCTCAAGGAATCCTGGAGAACAGTCTCGAAGGACAAGAGCAATTATCTCAGAAAGCCTGAGACTCAAGTCGGAAAGCTGCCATTGCAAAGGTAGATTAAACAAGCGCCAACTGCATTTAGGCGATTGATTATATTAACATCTAATGGATGGAGTTAAAAAAAAAAAAAAAACATAAAACTGAAGAAGCAGAAAATCTCATTGCACAAGTTAGTAAGAACTAGTCAGGATTAGAAAGCTGTGGTATTTGGTCAGAGGCAAAAATGTTGCTAAGTTTTGTTTTGCTAAATTACATGTGGGAGGGGCTGGAGAGATGGCTCAGTAGAATAAGCGTTTGCTTGGCAAGGGTAAGAGTCTGAGTTCAACCCCTAGTTCCACCACAAAAAAAATTTTTTTTAAATTAAATTGAGTGTGAAACCCACAGAACAATAAAATGTAATGGGGAGGGGACCTGCTATTGATGCAGAAGGCAGGACAGGAAAAGAAAGGCGAAAAAGAAGAACCCTGAGATGGGCAGGCTTGGCAGAAGGGAGGGTGCCAGGCAGGGGCAGGCCGGGGGCTGGCCAGTGACCCCCACGGCTACATCTCTGGGGTCTCTGGGTCTACAGCCTTGAAGCGAAGGGCCCAGCGGGGTGCCCAACCAATGAGCTCATACTTATTTGTAACTCTTGCAGGCAGGACCTTCACTCTCAGTTCCCAAAGTCTCCAGCACCCCAGAAGGCCGGGCATCTGTATCACTCTCCCGACCTTGGCCTGACAAAGGACAGAGGAGCGTTCTTGGGAAAAGCTGGGCCCTTCTTCAATCCAGAGGGAGAGATGCCCCAGCTGCACAGGGCGGACCACCGCTGCTCACCCAGCACCCTCCCCCACGCTGCCCACGACGTGGAATGTGCCCTGGCTTCCTGGGCAGGCTGTGCTCTCAGGGCCTCTGCAGAGGGCACTCGGAGGCGGGTCTGCCCACTGGGAGAGCGCGCCACCAGGTTCTGGGGTCAGAGCTCTCCTCTCAGGCCCTTCAGCCGCTGAGGGAGGAGGGCGCACTGTCCGAGCTTGAAGGCGCTGGCCAGCTGGGCATGGTGGGCTTCATATGCTCCACTGAACTCCAAGGTCGACTCCAACCGCCACCCAGTGAGGGCAGAGACTGTAGCAGCTTCGTTCACTGCTCTGACTAACACCTTGGGCAGTGGCAGCTCATGGTCAGCTGGGTTTCTCTCTTTCTTTTCTTTCCCTCCCTCCCTCCCTCCCTCCCTTCCTTCTTCTTTGTTGGGTAGACTTTTCATGGTATAAAAGATTGAACTCAGAGTCTTCACATACAACTGCATCCCCATCCTTTCTATTTTTCTTAAAGACCGAATCTTGCTAAGTAGCTGCGTTGTCCAGGCTTGAACAGCATTTGTGATAGTGGGCTGCTCCAGCTGGACTTGAATTGTGGTCCCCCTGCCTGAATCTGCCACCATGGAGGGACCACGGGCAGGCGTCTCCACCCCCAGCAAGGCACAGCCATCTCTTGAACCTCCCTTATAGGACTGCCACTCCACAGGGTCGTTTCTTCTTGATGTCACCATAAAATCTCCACAGCGAATGTTGTGCGTCTCCCCCACTTTTCAGAAATGCAAGAGGTTAAGCGAGCTCTTAAGAGGTCAAGACAGGCCTCTCTCTCCGGTGGCCCAAGCCACAGTCCATGCCTTTGACAAGGGTGCACCCACCACATCTCAGGCATGGCACCAGCCACTGAAGCGTGGACGTGAAGAGTACACAGCTCACGTCCTCCAAGTGCAGTCCACGGGACAAACAGGCAAGCAAGCAGGCAGTATGACATGAGTCACCATGAGAGGCGACAGAGCTAACACCTGCGGGGGAGAAAACAGGGAGACTTCTTGGAGGAGGGGACACCTGGGTCACATTTTGAAGGACCAATATTGATGAGCCCTGGGGAGCTCTGGGCTCGGAGCAGCATGTGCTAAGCTGCAGATGAGAGAGACTCGGAGCTGAGGTCCCGGGGCAGAGCCGGGCAGGGGCACAGAGAGGCTGAGGAGGAGACGAGGCTTGGGCTGGCACAGGGGCACTGGTGCCAGCAGGCCCCCGGTGAGGAACAAGGAGCTGGGACTCGACCCCAGACCAGGAGGAGCTTTGCAGGGATTTGAGACAGTGGCCTCAGCCTTGAGCCCGAACTGAAACTGGAAGTCCCAGTAGTGAGTGAAGAAAGTGGGACAGAACAGGCCCAAGGAGGACAGGTGCTGAGCAATGTCATGGAACGTGGGGACAGTGGCAGCTCATGGTCACTGAAATAGGGCTGGCAGGACAGCCTAGCTGTTTTCTGCAAGACAGTCACAATGGACACTGAATAAAACAGCTAGGCCTGGTGCCAGAGCTTGGATCTTGAATATCCTACGAACAGTTGCACACGGAAAGCTTGGTCCCACCTGTGCTCCCACTGGGAGGTGGTGTGGCCTTTAGGAGGCCCAGCCTAGGAGGAGGAAGTAAGGATACCGGGGGTGGCACTGTGACCCGTCCCGTCCCATCCCTGTCTCCAGGCTGCTGTGAGGCAAGCGCGCTGCCCGCCGTGCGCTCTCACCGCCACAGCCTGCCTCACTACAGGCCTGAGGCGATGGAGCCCAGAGACCACAGACTGAGCCCTCCAAGACCACAAGCAAGATGAACCTCCCCTGCTTAAGAGTTAGTTTAGGGCCGGGGAGATGGCTCAGTGGAATAAGCGCTTCCCTGGCAAGCACAAGGGCCTGAGTTCAATCCCTGGTTCCGCCAAAAAAAGAGTTGGTTTATCTCAGGTGTCCTGTCACAGTGACAGGAAGCTAACACCCTGGTCCACGGGTGGCAAGGGAATGATCTGCTGTCTCCCAGGAGTAGGGCTGAATCTCTGTCCTCTGCAGATGGGCCCTGGGGACGTCCTGCTCATTCATCTGATGCCATGAGCTCAGAAAAGCATGGACTCTGGTCCACTCAATACAGACCCCAGCTGTCTCGGTGATCCCAGGAATGGGGTGAGACAGCAGCCCCCAACCTCATCCTCCCACAATGCGCCTCACTGAGGGCATTGCATCCCAGCCGTGTGACCAGCAGAACCAGGGTGCTGTGCAGACGACAGCGAGCTCCAGGGGGTGTGCGGTCCTGGTGCACTTGCTACGCCATAGGGCAGGTGGGGACGGACCACACCAGAGAGGGGCAAGAGGCAGCACCCGGCAGAAGACCCAGCAGCCCAGCAAGCCCGGTGCTTTCCACCCCTTCCTTCTGCCCTGTCCTCCAGCCCTGTGGGCAGGGCACTTTTATCCAAGTGACTTCAGAGTTTGGCTTGCACTGTCCCCAGCCAGGACCCCTGCAGGCGGGGAAGCAGGCAGGCCCAATTTAAGGAGAGGCCCCGTTGCCCACACGTTGCGGGCCTGGCAGAAGCCCTGCCCATCGCAGGGCCCACAGCCCACTGTCCTTGCCAGGTCATCACATGGCTGAGCAAGGAATCTGCTGCCCCTGGGCCCACGTGACCTGCGGGCAGTGTGGCACATGGCTCAGTGGTGGCCCTCGACTGCTGCGCCTGGAGTCTGGAGTCAGTCCTAGGCTTTAAGGTCTGGTTTTCCAAGCACTGGAGCAGTCATGCTGGGTCCCAGCTGGGGCCTGAGAGGCTCACTTTTGAACTTCCCAAATCCTGATAACTGTCACCTGTGAGGCAGGGTGGTGCCAGGAGGAACTGGGAGGCTGGAGAAGCCAGGTCCACTGGCAGCCCCAGGGGTCCCTCTACAGCGCATCATTCCTGTCTGTCACACTCGGTGGCAGCCACGGTCAGATGTGCAGGTGAAAAGGCGCCTTCCCGCCAGCCTCCAGCCAGAGCCAGCGCAGGCCACGTGACTGTGTCACGCCACTCAGTGGGTGGTGGCCGTGCAGCTCCTGCGGAGCAGCCCTGGCACAGCCAGACCTGGTGCAACTTATGGTAGCCAAAAATCTGAATTTTCACGTAGAGAATTTTAAGGAGACAAATCACTGTTTAACATTTAAAAATAGCAGAAGCAAAAAATAAACATGTGACACTGCGGAGCTCACCTCTACCTGCCCCAGCCACGCAGGTGTGTGGGCTTCGGCTGCTGCTGTGGCTCTGGGCTCTCGGCCTCCCACCCCACCCCATGCTGTTCATGTTGCCATGCATGCCCTGGGACAGTCACACCGACTTTCAGAATGCCTCTGCCCCTGTGTGCAAGATGCAAATCACCACTGCTCCAGCAGGTGCTAGGTCCCCAGAGAGCCACCTTGCTGGGGCCCGAAGCCATGTGAGGAGGAGACACTGCCCTGCGCTTCTGCCTGCTGCTGTCCTTGGGGTCTGTTCTGTGGCCATGGCGCTGCTCGGAGCCCTTCCCTTCAGCTGGCACCTGCCAGAGAGCACAACAGTCAGGCAGCAGGCCGGCTCCCTTGGTGGCATGTGTCACTTCTGCCAGCCCTATGACCTTGTCAAGAGAGATCTCACGTGGCCTGCAGTGTCACCAGCACCTCACGGCTGCCATTGAAACTTCTTACAAAGTCATGACAGAGCC